TTTTACGCTCTTTCATAAAGGTAGGTTCATGATCCTCATTTTCGATTATGATATCGCGCGTTATATTATATACAAAAACATTGTTGACAATTATATTATTTTGGTCCCATCATTTTTCCGCAGTGACGTAGTTAATCGAGATCTCTTCATTTCATTTTCATTAATTGTAGGTACCTTCTTCTTTTCATTATTAACTATGCCAACGGTCTCTTCTGGAGAAATATCATCGTTTTTATCATCATAATTATTTGTTTCTTTTCTTTTTCGAGGATTTTTATCTTTGGAACCAAGTGGTCTACCATGCTTCACGCGCACCTTAGATTCATTAGCAATTGTAGGTTGCTCTTCTATACATCAATTCTAATCGGAGCATTTACAGCTGGAATATGAGATTTTGTTACTCTTTTGCGGTCAGTAAATACATCTGACAGTTGATTTGCAATATCTTGCAAATGAATTGTCATTTGAAATTCTAATTCACAATCTTTTATTCGAAGATATAAACCTTTTAATGATAATTCATTCCATGATATCTTATTTTTCAGTTGTTTATTATTTCTCCTTAACGTTGGGAATAATGATTCATCAAAATGACAATCTGCAAATCTTGCAGTAAATAAATTTTCAATCATTGATTTAATATATTTGATTGTAGATGGAGATTCATATCCAACATAAATTCTCATCTTTCGCTGAGGTCCCATTTTTGTGGATTGTGGACTAATTAGAATATATACCGTATATCCAAATATTCGTAAATGAAAAATATTTGGTTCATGACCATGAACCAATTGTAACGGGAAAATATCATTATAATTTGTTGGTCTGATGCGTATAAGTTATGATGCATGTAAAACAACATGTCCCCAAGACCTTATAGGGAGGTTAGATTTTATAAACATAAGCCTCGCAATCCATTAGATTCATTTTATAAATGATTCCGCTAGACCATTTTGAATGTGAACATAAGATACAAGATGTTCCACTTTTATCCCAACCGACATACAATAATTTATAAATGATTGGGACGTAAATTCACCAGAATTATCGAGTCGAATTGTTTTTATCGGATAATCAGAAAAATGTGCCCATAATCGTATTATTTATGCAAGTAACCTTGCAAAAGCCAAATTACGAGATGATAATAAGCACACATGTGACCATCGAGCTGATATATCGGTCAAAACCATAAAATATCAAAATGGTCTACATGGAGGATGGATTGGACCACATATATCATCATGAATTCTTTCCAAAAATGTTAACGATTCCTTTTTTATCTTAGGAGGTGAGGGTCTTATTATCAGCTTTCCTTTAGAATATGCAACACAAGAGAATTCCTGAGATTGAAAAATCTTCTGGTTTTTCAATGCATGACCACATGAATTTTTAATAATTTTTCGCATCATCGTTGCACCAAGATTATTTGTAAATTTCTGGTTTAGAATATCAATAAATATTGAATTTACTGTATTATATGATTCACTCATTCTCATAGTTATATAATATAACTCAGATGAGAGAGAATGTAATTTTTCTAACACATATCTCTTTCCCATCATAATTGAGGTAATATAAAGATATTCGATATTTCCTCCATTCATAGTCTCCATATGTTATCCATTTAAACGAATATCCTTAAAACTTAATAAATTTCTTTGAGACTTAGGCGAAAATAATGCATTTTCGATAACGAGTTGTGTCATTGGGCATAATAAAATTTACTCTTCTGGAGCCCTCAATTATCTTTGCACATCCTGATATAATATTGATATATACTTGATTATTTCTCAAATTCAAGAAATATTTTTTATCTTTAAGAATAGTGTGCGTTGTCGCATTGTCTATAAGACATATATCCTCAACTTAAAGTTCAAAATGATATTTATCCATAATTTATAAAGAATGATAATAAAAATTGAATAAATGGAAAGTAATATAAAATATGTATTAATACCGAATAAAATGACTAAAAACTATAAAAATAACCAAAATGGAAAATGTAAGTTATTAGATAGATCTATAACTTTTCTAATATACAAAAGCCATATATATGGCGAGTGTAGACCTCCATAATATGTCCCCGTTTTGTTCTTTGACAAAATTGTTCTCCAAAAGATGCATGTAATTGATCGTGTCCCCGTGGATGAAATCATGTGCATATGCTCTAAGATCGATGCCCACTCGCTCTGCAATCATGGTTA